CGCCGACGGACCTGTCCTCCTCACACTGCGCATGCGCATGTTGGTCCACGCATGCGCAGTCATGAGCATTCCATACTAGCGTGCGTTCCACACACAGGGTAAACCTGCAGCTATAGAGGGAAGCATAAGATCTTCCTCTGCTGCTGACTATACATTATTACGGATCCAAGAGTACTGATCCAATCCTCTCCATCATCCGATCATGAAGCACATGCAGCTGCCTGGTAGCACACAAAACACAGCTTCTGGTTGAAGGTTTGTGTGTGGGTTTATATGTCTACATATATATACACATGTGTTTTGTGTCACTATGGACACCTAACCATTAAGACATCCATTAACTAACAATTTATGTCTATTTTTACATTAATTGCTATATACTCATCCAGCTTCATGACAAGTCCTCTGGATGAATTGTCCATTTGATACATCGCTCACTAATGAATCATGGAATACGACTAACTATTTACTATATATTATGTTTCATCATGTATTATCTATTATCATCATTTCCAATGGTGTCATCGCTAAGTTGATATATTATATGCACACTAAGTGGTGTATGCAAAATGTGGTTTTTTATATATTTTATATCTTATATTTTACGTTTGTCTATATCATTTCTCTCTGATGGCATTACAAATAGTGATTGTCTGTTGACGATATCTTGGCCCCTCCTACTAACCTGAGACTGCCCAACCCAGTGGGGAGGGCCTAGGTTCAGTCCAGGAGTATATATAGGAGAGAGCACTCACAGTTCAGTTAGCTCTGAGGAAGAAGGGACCCCCTTCGAAACGCGTCAGCTGTACTGAACACCCACTCCCCTGATGGGACTCATGTTATCTTCAAGTCCCTGTGAGGACTTACATGCCTGATTTTATTCGCTGTTTGTGAGTATATTTTTTACAATTAATAAATTTTGGTTACTGAGGTAATGCGCAAGGTTGGTGCGCTTCTCGTTTTCATTTCATTCTGCAGTGTTGATTGGGCTTCCCCAGCCTTGTTTTGGAGCCGCACAGCCCTTTATGCATTGGTGGACGATCCCCCCAGGCCTGGTTCCATCTGTTCGCCACCTGTCTGAGTCCCAGAGCGCAGGAGAATTCGTTTTTGATCTCTTATTACATATCAGGATGACCCGTCCTGCCTAATGTACTACTACTTCTGTATATAGGGTTACATGTCATCTTTCCTTACAGATCAGACTGGTTTTTGAAGCCACATTCTAGCAGATCGAAGAAAAATCATGAAGACTTTTAGGTGAGGCCAAGTAACAGAAATGTGACTGATTAACTCCCTTTCAGTTTCAGTAGGAGTCGACTTCCTGTTTTTTAAGCCAGACAGAGCAAAGAAGATTATTCTGGAGGTTGGATTCAGCAGTAGAGTGTGAAAAGGTTTTACTATGGATCTGCTCTCTGCATGGGATCATTTGTGGAATCCAATCAGTACATTCGATGATGGCAACAGAGACTTCATTAATGTTTTTTTCGAATGCACTCCAAAATTGCATTTGCTTTTATAATTCAATTTGAATTGAATGAAATTTCCTAAATGAAAACCACATTCATTGTTAGAATTTCATTCGAAGAAAAAAAAAAATTCTGACCTGCTTTTTCAATATTTTTTTCATCACTGCAGTTGAAAACGATGGTCAATTCAACCCCATTAACTAATACAAATGTTCCGAATACATTTCTCTAAAATGCTACTGGTGTGTGGCCAGCGTTATGCCGCCACACGTGGGATCATCTTCCAGACATCTTACCAGATCTATAATGGAACTGGGGAACATTGGACGTGGTCACCACATTTTAGATGGCAAAACAATCATCTGATAAAATAAGAAATACAGGTCAAAGTTCCTTACAAAACACTATTAGGCTCCATGCACACTAGCGGGTTTTTAAGCTCAAAAAACGCCAGTAATAATGTTTTTAGCATTTTCGTATCATTGTAGTATTGTTTAGGAGCGTTGCCATTTTATTAGCATTTTTACAGTACATGAAGAGAAAAATAAAAACAAAAGTTATTAGTAGCATTTTGCATTTTTTTCCGCTGTTTTTTTCTACAACAAACTGTACAAAAACAACATTTTTTTTCTGCTCCAAAAACTGAAGCTCTAAAAACACTAATAGCCTAAAGCAGTGTGCATGAACACATAGAACACTACTTAGCTTCTAGGAGCAGAAAAAAGTGTGCTAGTGTTCATGGATCCTAATGCTGGCCATACATGGTTCGAATTCCGAATCATTTTTCGTCCGAAAATCGAAAACGTCGTTTGCTCGGCAATCCGATGGTTGCCATCAAGGATTTCGAAAATCGGCCGACCAAGTCAAAAAGTTCACCCCATATAACAGGAGAAATTTCTGTTCCTTCCAGGTCACGGCTCATGCGCATATTCTTTTAGGAAAAATGATCGTACGATTTGACCATCATTGAGTTGAAAATCGGTCGTTTTTTTACAAATTTTCCAACATGCACGATCATCAAAAAGGGGAGGAACCACGAAAATTGGCCAGTGCTATTGACACACTAACAGAGCGAAAATCAGCCGATTATTCTTAGGCCTGAAAAAAAAAAAAATCGGTCGAATTTGGACCCATGTATGGCCGGCCTTAGACTCTTCATCCCTCTAGCTTTGCTGCGCTGTATATCCAGTATGTGTGCAGAAATGGAGTCCATGAGTAGGACGGAGCACCAGGAGGCTTTAGTTAACCACTTGGTAACCTTGCCATAGCCGAATGATGTCATCATATGATGTCCTCCCAGATCGCGCCCTCTGACACACTCCCCCAGTGGCATGCACCAGGCAATCTCCGTGATCACATGATGAGGTAAAAGGCCAATCACAACGGCCTTTTACCACGTGATCAGCTGTGTCCAATGACACAACAGATCACGGAGTAAATACAGTTGGCAGTTATCGGCAGCACTTTCCTAACGCTGTCACACAACAGATCGGCACTGGTTATGCAGTGCCATCCACCAATGCCACCTAGCAGTTGTGCCCAGCAGTGGCACATATCAGTGCCAGCAGTCAGTGTCGCCTATCAGTACCAACTATCAGTGACCATCATTGCTGCATATCAGTGCCTCCTCATCAATGCAGCCTATCAGTGCTGCCTATCTGTGCCACCTCAGTGTCCATCAGTGCCACCTCATCAGTGCCCATCTGTGAAGGAGAAAAATTACCTTGTTGCAAAAAGTTATAATAGAAACAAAGAAACTTTTGTTTCTCAAAATTTTTTGCTCTTTTTTTGTTTATAGTGCAAAAAATAAAACACCCAGCAGCAATTAAATACCACCAAAATAAAGCTGTGTTTGTGTGAAAATAAATGATAACAATTTCATATGGGTACAGTGTTGCATGACTGCACAATTGTCATTCGCAGTGCAACAGCGCTGAAAGTTGAAAATTGGCCTGGACAGGAAGGGGGTAAAAGTATCTGCACTTGAAGTGGTTAAAGATTGGGGGGGGCCCACTGTGTTTTTTTTGTTTTCTTTTTTAATAAAAATGTAATTTTTAAAAAAGTCAGTCCTGCTGCAGCAGGTTCTGTACATTGTACAGATGTGCAACTTTGCAGTTAGTTTAGGAGGACCCTCAGGCTTGATATTTAAAGGATTTATTTATTTTCTACTTTAAGCAATGAAAAATGACTGCCCCTTTAAAAACAGTACTTTTTGAAAACTATATTTTCACTGATCCATGTCCATCAATGCAGAACCCAAGTCCCCATTCGCATTACATTTGAATGTTTGACCGCGAACTGCACAGGTAGGTGTTCAGTCCATCACTACTTACCGGGATTAAGAGATCAGAGTTCTGCTTAGTCCTAACAGACCTAAATACAGAGAGAATCAAGGTTTGTATAACCTACAAATATCTCTTATTACATATCAGGATGACCCGTCCTGCCTAATGTACTACTACTTCTGTTATATAGGGATACATGTCATCTTACCTTACAGATCAGACTGGTTTTTGAAGCCACATTCTAGCAGATCGAAGAAAAAACATGGAGACTTTTAGGTGAGGCCAAGTAATGGGAATGTGACTGATTAACTGCCTTTCAGTTTCAGTAGGAGTCAACTTCCTGTTTTTTAAGCCAGACAGAATGAAGATTATTCTGGAGATCAGATTCAGCAGTAGATTGTGAAAAGGTTTTACTATGGATCTGCTCTCTGCATGGGATCATTTGTGGAATCCAATCAGTACATTCGATGATGGCAACAGAGACTTCATTGATGTTTTTCGAATGCACTCCAAAATTGCATTTGCTTTTATAGTTCAATTTGAATTGAATGAAATTTCCTAAATGAAAACCACATTCATTGTTAGAATTTCATTCGGAAAAAAAAAAATTCTGACCTGCTTTTTCAATATTTTTTTCATCACTACAGGTGAAAACGATGGTCAATTCAACCCCATTAACTAATACAAAATTTAGCAAATGTTCCGAATACATTTCTCTAAAATGCTACTGGTGTGTGGCCAGCGTTATGCCGCCACACGTGGGATCATCTTCCAGACATCTTACCAGATCTATAATGGAACTGGGGAACATTGGACGTGGTCACCACATTTTAGATGGCAAAACAATCATCTGATAAAATAAGAAATACAGCTCAAAGTTCCTTACAAAACACTATTAGGCTCCATGTACACTAGCGGGTTTTTAAGCTCAAAAAACGCCGGTAATAATGTTTTTAGCATTTTAGTATCATTGTAGTATCGTTTAGGAGCGTTGCCATTTTATTAGCATTTTTACAGTACATGTAGAAAAAAAAACAAAAGAAGAGAAAAATAAAAACAAAAGTTATTAGTAGCATTTCGCATTTTTTTCTGCTGGAAAAACGCTACAACTACAAAAACAACATTTTTTTTCTGCTCCAAAAACTGAAGCTCTAAAAACACTAATAGCCTAAAGCAGTGTGCATGGACACATAGGAGAACACTACTTAGCTTCTAGGAGCAGAAAAAAGTGTGCTAGTGTTCATGGATCCTAATGCTGGCCATACATGGTTCGAATTCCGAATGACTTTTCGTCCGAAAATCGAAAACATTGTTCGCTCGGTAATCCGATGGTGCCATCAAAGATTTCGAAAATCGGCCAACCAAGTCAAAAAGTTCACCCCATATAACAGGCGAAACTTCTGTTCCTTCCAGGTCACGGCTCATGCGCATATTCTTTTCGGAAAAATGATCGTACGATTTGACCATCATTGAGCTGAAAATCGGTAATTTTTTTACGAATTTTCCAACATGCACGATCATCAAAAAAGGGGAGGAACCACGAAAATTGTCCGGTGCTATTGACACACTAACAGAGCGAAAATCAGCCGATTATTCTTAGGTCTGAAAAATTTGGACCCATGTATGGCCGGCCTTAGACTCTTCATCCCTCTAGCTTTGCTGTGCTGTATATCCAGTATGTATGCAGAAATGGAGTCCATGAGTAGGACGGAGCACCAGGAGGCTTTAGTTAACCACTTGGTAACCTTGCCATAGCCGAATGATGTCATCATATGATTTCCTCCCAGATCGCGCCCTCCCACACTCCCCCAGTGGCATGCACCAGGCAATCTCCGTGATCACATGATGAGGTAAAAGGCCAATCACAACGGCCTTTTGCCACGTGATCAGCTGTGTCCAATGACACAACAGATCACGGAGTAAATCCGGTTGGCGGTTATCGGCAGCACTTTCCTAACGCTGTCACACAACAGATCGGCACTGGTTATGCAGTGCCACCCACCAATGCCACCCAGCAGTTGTGCCCAGCAGTGGCACATATCAGTGCCAATCAGTCAGTGTGTCGCCTATCATCAGTACCGACTATCAGTGACCATCATTGCTGCATATCAGTGCCTCCTCATCAATGCAGCCTATCAGTGCTGCCTATCTGTGCCACCTCATCAGTGTCCCTCTGTGCCACCTCATCAGTGCCCATCTGTGAAGGAGACAAATTACCTGTTTGCAAAAATTTATAATAGAAACAAAGAAACTTTTTTTTCTCAAAAATTTTTTGCTCTTTTTTTGTTTATAGTGCAAAAAATAAAACACCCAGCAGCAATTAAATACCACCAAAATAAAGCTGTGTTTGTGTGAAAATAAATAATAACAATTTCATATGGGTACAGTGTTGCATGACTGCACAATTGTCATTCGCAGTGCAAACAGTGCTGAAAGTTGAAAATTGGCCTGGACAGGAAGGGGGTAAAAGTATCTGCACTTGAAGTGGTTAAGGATTGGGGGGCCCCACTCTGTTTTTTTGTTTTCTTTTTCTAATAAAAATGTAATTTTTTAAAAAAAAAGTCAGTCCTGCTGCAGCAGGTTCTATACATTGTACAGATGTGCAACTTTGCAGTTAGTTTTTAGGAGGACCCTCAGGCTTGATATTTAAAGGATTTTTTTTTTTTTTTTCCAAGCAATGAAAAATGACTGCCCCTTTAAAAACAGTACTTTCTGAAAAACTATTTTTTCACTGATCCATGTCCCTCAATGCAGAACCCGAGTCCCCATTCCCCTTTTATGACTAATAACTTGCATATAAGCCTTCAAGATGGGCGCTCTTCGAGTCCCTTAGACTTGCTTTAAGTTTGAAGTTCGCATTACGTTCGAATGTTTTGACCGCAAACTGCACAGGGGGGGTGTTCAGTCCATCGCTATTTACCGGGCTTAAGAGATTAGAGTTCTGCTTAGTCCTAACAGACCTAAAATACAGAGAGAATCAAGGTTTGTATAACCTACAAAATATCTCTTATTACATATCAGGATGACCCGTCCTCCCTAATGTACTACTACTTCTGTTATATAGGGTTACATGTCATCTTACCTTACAGATCAGATGGTTTTTCAAGCCACATTCTAGCAGATCGAAGAAAAAACATGGAGACTTTTAGGTGAGGCCAAGTAACGGGGATGTGACTGATTAACTCCCTTTCAGTTTTCAGTAGGAGTCGACTTCCTGTTTTTTTAAGCCAGACAGAGCAAAGTAGAATATTCTGGAGGTCGGATTCAGCAGTGGAGTGTGAAAAGGTTTTTACTATGGATCTGCTCTCTGCATGGGATCATTTGTGGAATCCAATCAGTACATTTGATGATGGCAACAGAGACTTCATTGATGTTTTTCGAATGCACTCCAAAATTGCATTTGCTTTTAAAATTCGATTTGGATTGAATGGAATTTCCCAAATGAAAACCACATTCATTGTTAGAAAATTATTCTAGAAAAAAAAAAATTCTGACCTGCTCCTTTTTTTTTTTTCATCACTACGGTTGAAAACGATGGTCAATTCAACCCCATTAATTACTACAAAATTTAGCAAATGTTCCGAATACAACATTTCTCTAAAATGCTAATGGTGTGGCCAGCGTTATGCCGCCACACGTGGGATCATCTTCCAGACATCTTACAGATCTATAATGGAACTGGGGAACATTGGACGTGGTCACCACATTTTAGATGACAAAATAAGAAATACAGGTCAAAGTTCCTTACAAAACACTGTTAGGGCTCCATGCACACTAGCGGGTTTTTTAAGCTAAAAAAACGCTGGATAAAAAATGCTGGTAATAATTGTTTTTAGCATTTTAGTATCGTTTAGGAGCATTGCCATTTTATTAGCATTTTTACAGTACATGTAGAAAAAAACAAAAGAAAAAGCTAGAAAAACAAAGTTATTTGTAGCATTATGTATTTTTTTCTGCTGGAAAACGCTACAACAAACTGTACAAAAACAACATTTTTTTTTTCTGCTCCCAAAAACTCATGCTCTAAAAACACTAAAAATCTAAAGCAGTGTGCATGGACACATAGGAGAACACTATTTAGCTTCTAGGAGCAGAAAAAAAATGCTATTGTTCATGGAGCTTAATGCAGGCCCATACATGGTTCGAATTCCGAATCATTTTCCGTCCGAAATCTAAAAAAAACGTCGTTCGCTCGGTAATCCGATGGTTGCCATCAAGGATTTAGAAAATCGGCCGACCGAGTCATAAAGTTCACCCCATATAACAGGCGAAATTTCTGTTCCTTCCAGGTCACGGCTCATGTGCATATTCTTTTCAGAAAAATGATCGTACGATTTGACCATCACTGAGTCAAAAATCGGTCATTTTTTTACGAATTTTCCAACATGCCACGATCACCAAAAAGGGGAGGAACCACAAAAATTGGCCAGTGCTATTGACACACTAACAGAGCAAAAATCAGCCGATTATTCTTAGGTCCGAAAAAAAAAATCGGTCAAAATTTCGACCCATGTATGGCTGGGCTTAGACTCTTCATCCCTCTAGCTTTGCTGTGCTGTATATCCAGTATGTATGCAGAAATGGAGTCCATGAGTAGGACGGAGCACCAGGAGGCTTTACTTAACCACTTGGTAACCTTGCTATAGCCGAATGATGTCATCATATGATGTCCTCCCAGATCGCGCCCTCCCACACACCCCCAGTGGCATGCACCGGGCAATCTTCGTGATCACATGATGAGGTATAAGGCCAATCACAATAGCCTTTTACCACGTGATCAGCTGTGTCCAATGACACAAACAGATCACGGAGTAATTACAGTTGGCGGTTATCGGCAGCACTTTCCTAACGCTGTCACAGAGCAGATCGGCACTGGTTATGCAGTGCCACCCACCAATGCCCTGCAGTGTCACCCAGCAGTTTTGCCCAGCAGTGGCACATATCAGTGCCTTCAGTCAGTACCCGCCTATATCATTGCTGCACATCAGTGCAGCATCATCACTGTCTCCCCATCAATGCCCACCAGTGCCGCCTCATCAATGCTGCCTATCTGTGGCACCTCATCAGTGCTGCCCATCAGTGCCACCTCATCAGTGCCCATCTGTGAAGGAGAAAAAGTACCTGTTTGCAAACATTTATAATAGAAACAAAGAAAACCTTTTTTTTTCCCTCAAAATTTTTTTGCTTTTTTTTTGTTTACAGTGCAAGAAATAAAAACACCCAGCAGAGATTCAATACCACCAAAACAAAGCTGTGTTTTTTGTGAAAATAAATGATAACAATTTCATATGGGTACAGTGTTGCATGACTGCGCAATTGTCATTCGAAGTGCGATAGCGCTGAAAGTTGAAAATTGGCCTGGGCAGGAAAGGGGTATGAGTGCCCGGTAGGCAAACAGTATTTATACCCCAAAACCATTTTTTTTTATATTGCAGTTTACTAATTCTTGGATGTGGTGGCTGAAATTTGTTTTTTTTTCCCTTTACTTTTATCTGATGATCCTGCCAGTAAGTCTGTTATTCTTCAACTTCCATTAACAGATTAAGCTGTCGAGTAAGCGTGATAGTCAAAAGTGGAACTACACCCACAGGTTTAAAGTGGTTGCAAATCTAAAAAAAACACAAATCAATCTAATCCTACAGTTGGACAGATTTGACCTTTGCTAAGAATTTGCGCTTGGTTTGGTATCTTGAAGAAATTCCCTTTTTCCAGAAATCCCCTCTGCTCTTCTGAACAGAATAAATCTGACACAAGCAGAAAAAATGGTGTCGCCACTCACCTTCTCCTGAGTGACAGGCTGCGCTGAAGACGAGACCAGCATGAGCCTCCATGTAATACACTGCAAAGGGATGGGGGGATCGGGTGTCCTCTCCCTGATGGTCTCTGTCTTCACAAGATGGAGAACTCAGCACCAGTGACTGTTATTGAGCCGAGGCTGGAGGGTGTGTATACCTGAGGGATTGTGTGACATCTCTGCACCCCAACTATTCCCTGGCCCTAAGCCCACGCCCACAGATCAGCAGTTTTTGGAAGGCTGAGACAAGATAAGGGAGCATTTTTCTGAGGTTCACTCCCAGTTGTATATGTTTACATTATAATGTATTCATTTATGGCAAAAAGTAAATTTTTTGTTATATTTGGCTTTACAACCACTTTACCTATACTTTAGCCTATAATGAGGATTACCTGTAGGTTCAGTGAATATCTCCTAAACTTGCACTGTTTTAGGAGATATTCACACAACATGCAGCCGGTAATGTCACCGATGCATGTGCTCTGAAGGGACGGCATAGCGTGCCGCAACTTCAGAGCTCCCTGACCCAGCCGAGGGCTCCCGCGGACATGCACAGGAGTGACGTCATCGCGGTTCCAGTCATTCATACATGAAGACTGGGTAAAGATGGCGGTGCCGGGGAGCCGTGATAGTGTGGTGCTGGAGGGCTCCATCTACAGGTAGGTCTGTCGCGGTGCATTATGACCTAAACCTGCAGGGAGGCCTATTGTTTTGGGTTTTTTTATACCGCTTTAACAGTTACATTCACAGCGTGCCCTGAATGAGAACTGTACCAGCAGCTTGTGCTCTTAATTGAACTGTCAAGCCAGCAAATGGCTGGTTTCCTAACTGCAAACATGCAGCACCATTGTTTAGATCAAATAGATGTAAAGATGACGGCTGTGAGGAACCATCAGGCACCCCGACTGGGTGCCTCCACCAAAAAGCTGCTTTTCTCACTGCTGCCCAAGAACTGGACGACTCCAGCTTAGGTGCAAACAGAAACTGTTTACTATTAAAAATTCACACATAATTTATACCACACAAAATCAGACAAGAGCTTGATCACATTATCCTAAACAATGCAAACTTTAAACAGTAATATCATCAGTACATCTAATGAACAGCTGGCAGTAACCTAATTAAACAGTAAGCTAATCAACAGCCAGGTACCCAGACCGGCTTTGATTTAGTCAGGGAGCCCACCCCAGACAGTCCAGCAAGAAGTCCACAGCCTTGGACACACAAAGTACATTACACATGTTGATTTTCAGGTATTTGGCTTTCACTTGAGTAATCTGTCCACTAAAAAAGTCATCAAAGGACAAAACTCATACAGTGTTTCAGCAGTCTGAAAAAGTGCAAATAATTTATCTTCATAGATTTCTTGAGGGAGATTGTTGATAAATATTTCTGTCCCAAGGTGAAGGAGCTTCTCCTACCCAGTCTGCAGGAAGGCCACCATATTTCCTCTGTGATATCTGTCTGAAAGGCTATTTTAAATAAGGCTTAACAATTTTTGGAATGTTTTAAGTGCAATATTTTGGCTTATTAAAGTTGTTTACCTTTGGTAATACACGATTGGAGCAAATTTCTCTTTCTATGTAACTATGGAGAGGAATATATATTATGATCCTGGCTACCATTCTTATCATGGGTGATTATTGGAGGAACCTCCCGGTCTTAACAATTTGGAGTCTGTATAAAGTGGAAAAAAGGCTGTGTTCTGATGACCCTGATTTTTGAAATTTATACAATAAGGCTCATTAAAGGCTATGTTCTGGTGAGTGCACACCTAAGAGGGGGTGTATGAAAGGCACAGCACGTGGTTTATTTTCTGAACTGGGGGTCACAGAGGACTTTTTTTGGAATGTATTATTAACTACTTGCCTACCGGGCACTTATACCCCCTTCCTTACCAGGCCAAATTTCAGCTTTCAGCGCTGTCGCATTTTTGATTGACAATTGCGCGGTCATGCAAGATTGTACCCAGATGAAATTTTTATCATTTTTTTTCTCACAAATAGAGCTTTCTTTTGGTGGTATTTAATCGCCGCTGGGCGCTTTACTTTTTGCGCTATAAACAAAAAATTGCAAAAAATTTGAAAAAAAAAAAAAAGTTTCTTTGTTTCTATTATAAAATTTTTTTCAAACAGGTAATTTTTCTCCTTCACTGATGTGCGTTGATGAGGCAGCACTGATGGGCACTGATAGGTGGCACTGATAGGCAGCACTAATGAGGTGGCACGGATAGGCGGCACTGATAGGCGACACTGATGATGGGTACTGATAGACAGCACTGATAGGTGGCACTGACTGGCATCACTGCTGGGCACTGACTGGCGGCACTGACTGGCACAACCGCTGGGCACTGACTGGCACAACCGCTGGGCACAGGTGGGTGGCACTGCATGGCACAGGTGGGTGGTACTGCTGGAGGCACAGGTGGGTGCACTAGTGGGCGCACTGCTGGGCACAGGTGGGCGGAACTGCTGGGCACCGATCATCAGGGCACTGATCATCAGTGCCCTGATGATCAGTGCCAATCCCTGCTCTAACAAATGCCGGTTCTCGGCAGTACTTTCCTCATGATCTGACAGCGTGAGGAAAGTGCAGCCGAGATCCGGCAATTGCATTTCCCGGTGATCTGCGTGTCATTGGACACGGCTGATCACGTGGTAAAAGACCGCTGTGATTGACCTTTTACCACGTCACGTGATTAGCTGTGTCCATAGGACACAGCGATCACGGAGATCGCCGGGGGCGCGCAGGAGAGTACGTTCTGGGAGGACGTCATATGACGTCCACCCAGAACTGGCCGGCCGCAGTGTAGCCGTCATTTGGCTATCTGCGGTCGGCAAGTAGTTAATTACACTGGACTTCTATTTTACGGTGTTTTCTGGGCACTATTATATCATATGTTTGTTTATTTTTTGTCACATATATATTTATGTCACATATAATTTATGTCACTTAATATTTGTGTGAATGAGTTTGCACAGAGAGACCATCAAAAGGAATTAATGTGACACATATATATAATGCGCCGCTAATTATCACCAATATTAGGAGTGGTATTTTTTGGAATAAATGAAAAAAATGACTGCCCCTTTAAAAACAGTACTTTTTGAAAACAATGTTTTTACTGATCCATGTCCCTCAATGCAGTACCCGAGTCCCCATTCCCCTTTTATGACTAATAACTTGCATATAAGCCTTCAAGATGGGCGCTCTTCGAGTCCCTTAGACTTGCTTTAAGTTTGAAGTTCGCATTACATTTGAATGTTTTGACCGCAAACTGCACAGGGGGGTGTTCAGTCCATCGCTATTTACCGGGATTAAGAGATCAGAGTTCTGCTTAGTCCTAACAGACCTAAATACAGAGAGAATCAAGGTTTGTATAACCTACAAATATCTCTTATTACATATCAGGATGATCCGTCCTGCCTAATGTACTACGTCTGTTATATTTATATAGGTTTGCTCAGCGCTTTACATAATAGTGGGAGACAATACAGTTCAATAAGAGAGGGATTAGAGGGCCCTGCTCCTTGGAGTTTACAATCTAGGAGGGCGGGGTGAGTGGTAAAGTAGGTAGTCACTGTGGGGGATGAAGTGGTTCAAAGAGTAGAGGATACCAGAATTAGCAGAGGGCAGGATAGGCTTCCCTGAAGAGAGAGGTTTTCAGTGAACGCCAAAAGGCAAGTAGAGTAGGTGATAATCTGATAGATTGGGGTAGGGAGTTCCAGAGGATGGGTGACGCCCTGGAGAAGTCTTGGAGACGAGCATGGGAGGAGGAGATCAGGGAGCTAGAGAGTAAGAGGTCTTGCGAGGAGCGGAGTGTGCGGTTTGGGTGATATTTAGAGATAAGATCGGTTATGTAAGTTGGGGCAGTGTTGTGGATGGCTTTATATGTCATTGTTAGAGTTTTGAATTTTATCCGTTGGGCAACTGGGAGCCAGTGGAGGGATTGGCAGAGAGGGATGGTGGATACGGAACGGTTAGTGAGGTGGATGAGTCTGGCAGCAGCATTCATGATAGACTGGAAGGGGGATAGTCTACGATGAGGTAGGCCAATAAGGAGGGAGTTACAGTAGTCGAGGCGTGATATGACAAGGGAGTGAATAAGTTGCTTAGTGGTGTCCGGGGTTAGGAACGGTCGTATCTTGGAGATGTTGCGGAGGTGAAGTCTACATGATTTTGTCAGCGATTGGATCTGGGGCTGGAGGGACAGATGGGAGTCCAGGATTACACCTAGTACCCTGGCGTGAGGGGATGAACTGAGGATGGTGTTAGCGATATTTATGGTGAAGTCAGTGGAGGTGGCACGGGCTGGAGGGAATACTAAGAGCTCAGTTTTGGAGAGGCTGAGTTTGAGGAAGTGGAGTGCCATCCAGGCTGATATGTCGCTTAGGAGGCTAGCGATATGGGTGGAAACTGAATGAGTGAGGTGAAGGGTAGACAGATAGATTTGCGTGTCATCAGCATAGAGATGGTAGTTGAAGCCGCGGGAGTTTATCAAATTACCAAGGGAGGAGGTGTAGTTGAAGAGAAGGGGTCCAAGGACAGAACCTTGGGGACCCCTATAAAGAGAGGGAGTGAGGAGGAGGTGGCAGCGTTATAGGTAACACTGAAGGAGCGCTGCGATAGATAGGAGGAGAACCAGGAGAGAGCGGAGTCTCTGGGGCTGAGAGAGTGTAGTTTTTTGAGGAGGAGGGGGTGGTCAACCGTGTCAAAAGCTGCGGAGAGGTCGAGTAGTAGGAGTACTGAATAGTGGCCATTGGTTTTAGCAGTTAGTAGGTCATTAGAGAGCTTTAGTAGGGCAGTTTCGGTGGAGTGTAGGGGGCAAAAGCCAGATTGTAGGGGGTCGAGAAGGTTGTTGTCGGTGAGGTGGGAGCTCAGACGATTCTAGACTAAACGTTCTAGGAGTTTAGAGGTAAATGGCAGCAGGGAGATGGGTCTAAGGTTGTTCAGGTTGGTGGGGTCCAGGGAGGGTTTCTTAAGTATGGGAGTGATGTGCGCGTGCTTTAGAGGGGAGGGGAATATACCTGTAGAGAGGGAGAGATTGAAGATGTGAGTGGGGAGCATAGGATATAGGGTTACATGTCATCTTACCTTACAGATCAGACTGTTTTTTGAAGCCACATTCTAGCAGATCGAAGAAAAAACAACATGGAGACTTTTAGGTGAGGCCAAGTAACTGGAATGTGACTGCTCAAGTTGATTATGTTTGCGGATTCCACAAATGATCCCATGCAGAGAGCAGATCAATGGTACAACCTTTTCAAACTCTACTGCTGAATCCAACCTCCAGAATAATCTGCGTTGTTCTGCTTTGTCTGGGTTAAACAACATGAACATAAGGTGAGGTACTTGGCCTCACCTTAAAGTCTCCATGTTTTTTCTTCGATGCTGCTAGAATGTGGATTCACACAGAGGGGAGAATACTCACACCGAAAAAAAAATATAAAGAATAATATTAATATTTTACTTTAAGCAATGAAAAATTACTGCCCTTTTAACAGTCCTTTTCCTACCGGGCACTTATACCCCCTTCCTGCCCAGACAAATTTTCAGCTTTCAGCGCTGTCGCACTTTGAATGACAATTGCGAGGTCATGCAACACTGTACCCATATGAAATTTGTATCATTTTTTTTCACACAAATAGAGATTTCTTTTGGTGGCATTTACTCGACGCTGGGTGTTTTATTTTTTGCACTATAAACAAAAAATATTTTGCAAACACGTAATTTTTCTCCTTCACTGATGTGCGTTGATGAGGCAGCACTGATAGGCAGTGCTGATAGCCGACACTGATGATGCTGCACTGATATGCAACAATGATGGGCACTGATAGGTGGTACTGCTGGGGGGCACTACTAGGCACAAGTGGGTGGCACTGCAGGGCACTGATCATCAGTGCCGATCCATCCTCTGACAATTGCCGGTTTATCGGCAGTATTTTCCTCACTCTGTGACAGCATGAGGAAAGGGCAGCCGATAACTGGCAACTGCATTTACCGGTGATCTGCTGTGTCATTGGACATGGCTGATCATGTAAAAGGCCGCTGTGATTGGCCTTTTACCACATCACGTGATCAGGTGTGTCCGTAGGACTCAGTGACCACGGAGAACGCTGGGGGCGTGCGGGAGGGCGCATTCTGTGAGGAAGTCATATGACGCCCTCCCAGAACTGGACAACCGCGCTGTAACCGTCATTCGGTTATAGCGTGGTTGGCAGTGGTTTTAAAAACAGTACTTTTTGAAAAAAAAATTTCACTGATTCATGTACCTCAATGCAGAACCCGAGTCCCCATTCCCCTTTTATGACTAATAACTTGCATATAAGCCTTCAAAATGGGCGCTCTTTGGGTCCCTTAGACTTGCTTTAAGTTTGAAGTTCGCATTACGTTCAAATGTTTGACCGCGAACTACACATGGGGGTGTTCAGTCCATCGCTATTTTACCGGGCTTAAGAGATCAGAGTTCTGCTTAGTCCCTATTTAGCTTCTAGAAGCTATAAAAAATGCTAGTGTTTTCATGGAGCCTTAGACTCTTCATCCTCCAGCTTTGCTGCGCTGTATATCCTTGTAAATGTATGCAGAAATTGGAGTCCATGAGTAGGACGGAGCAACCAGGAGGCTTTAGTTAACCATTTGATAACCGCGCTATAGCTGAACGACTGTCATCATATGATGTCCTCCCCAGAACATGCCCTCCCACATGCCCCCAGTGAGCGCGCACCTGGCCATCTCCGTGATCACTGTTGTCCTATGGGCACAGTTAATCACAATGATGAGGTAAAAGGCGAACAATCACAGCGGACTTTTTAACCACTATGATCAGCTGTAGTTCAATGACACAGCAGATCACGGAGTTAAAATACAGTTGGCGGTTATCGGCAACACTTTCCTAACGCTGTCAATAGCGTGAGGAAAGTACTGCCGATAACCGGCAGCTGTCCAGAGCAGATCGGTATTAGTTTATCAGGGCACCCGAATGATCATTTGCCCTGCAGTGCTGCCTACCATTGCCTCCCAACAATGCCCCCCAGCATGGTGCCACCCATCAGTGCTGCCGCCCACCATTGCACCCATCAGTGCTGAATGTCAGTGCTGTCAGTCAGTGCCCCCTATCAGTGACCCATCCTTGCTGCATATCAGTGCACAGCATCAACAGTGCGGGCGGCCTCATCAGTGCAGCCTCACCAGTGCCCATCAGTGCTACCCATCTGTACCACCTCAATCCAGTGCCCATACAGTGGCCCTGCCACATCAACGCACATCAGTGAGAGGAGAAAACTTATCCTGTTTGCCAAAATTTTGTAATAGAAACAAGGAATAAAACCTTTTTATTATCAACTATTTCTGCTCTCTTTTCTTTTTTTATAGTGCAAAAAATAAAACAAACCAGCGGGCGATTAAATACCCATCAAAAGAAAGTTCTGTTTGTGTGAAAAAAATTATCCCAATTTCATATGTGGATTAACAGTGGTAGTCCGATTTCAAAGTGCGACAAGCGCTGAATGTTGACCTGGGCAGAAAGGGGAGTATAAAGTGCCCGGTAGGCAAGTAGATTTCAAGGCCAGTATTAAACCCAAATACCAATTGTTTTTTATATTAGCCAGCTTACTAATTTCTTGGATAAGTGGTAGCTGCACTAGTTTTTTTTCCGCCCTTTTACTTGAATCCTATCTGATTTGATCCCTGCCAATAAGTTCTGTTATGTTTTCCAGCTTTCATTAACAGATGACCAGACTGTCGAGTAAACGTGAGAGTCCAAAGTGGAGAACCACACCCACGAGAATTAAAGTGGTTGGGCGCGACGGGCGCGAGAAGAAAACACAAAATCAATCTATTTCTAATACCTACAGTTTGAATAAGATTTGACCTGTGCTAAGAATTTGCGCTTGGGTTTTGGTACCTTAAAAGTAATGCCCATTTTCCAGAAATCTCCGCGAGCGGAGTGCGAGCGAGACGCTGAACAGAAATAAATCTGACACTAGCAGGAGAAATGGTGTCGCCACTAATTCTGGCACCTGTCTCACTGTGAGTGACAGGCTGCGCTGGAAGATGAGACCAAAGCCGTGATCCTCACCAGGTAATACACTGCAACGGGATGGGGGATCGGGTGTCCCTCTCCCTGATGGTCTCTGCCCTTTACAAATCGAGAACTCAGCATCAGTGACTTATTGAGCCGAGGCTGGAGGGGGTCAAACCTGGGGTTGTGTGACACACATTTCCCCCCTACTATTTCTTCCAAAGCACCAGCCGCAGTTTTTGGAAGGCTGGACAAGATAAGGAGCGGAAGGTTCACCCCAGTTGAATGTATGACTTATAATTTTCATTTATGGCAAAAGGGCATTTTGTTTTTTTGTTTTTTCAAACCAAATAAAGTTGACCCTACAGGGAAGCCTATAATGGGTTACCTTAGGTTTATGAAAACCCAAACTTCATGTTTAGGAGAATTTACCCCCAACATGGGGCCGGTGGCACCGATGCATTGCCGAAGGGCGCATAGCGTGCCCAACTTCAGAGCTCCCCCCGCCCACCAGGGCTCCCGCGGACATGCCAGGAGTGAATCACGCGGTTCCAGTATTCATACAGGGAAAACTGGGTAAAGTGGCGGGCCGGGGAGCCCTGATAGTGTGGGGCCCGGAGGGCTCCATCTAAAAAGGGAGGTCTGTCGCGGTGCATTATACCTAAACCTGAGGGAGGCCTATTTTTTGGTTTTTTTTTTTAACCCCTTTAACAGTTACATTACAGGTGCCCTGAATGAGAACTGTACCCGCACTTGTGCTCTTAATTGAACTGTCAAGCCCGCAAATGGTGGTGCCTAACTGCAAACATGCACACCTTTTATAGATAATAATTCAAAGATGACCTGTGAGGGGAAACCACGACTGGGGGCTTCCCCAAAGACCCTTTTCCCCCCTGCTGCAACACGGAACAAGGTATTATATTTTTAATTTTACCAAGAACAGACGATCCACTTAGGTGCAAAAAAAGGAACTGTTAATTATAAAAAAATTTACGCATCATTTTTACCACACAAAATCAGA